AGTCGGTTTTTGGACAGCGTCCATGCGCACAGTTCAGTGGTCTCAATTCTGGGGTCCCCTGGTGCCACCACGATCCGTATCTTCATCCCCAACAGCCATCCAGCGGGACCACAGCTTCACAGCCTCTCCCTCTGTGACCTCCTGGGCTCGCCAACCCTCCTTCGGGTCACACGAGTGAGTCCTTTTGTGACGATGTGTCTTGCTCAAAGGGAATGTTCTCTACGCTCTCACATCGAGCCTTGCTCGTCTCCTCTTTAGAGCATCCGAGAACGAGAAGGTCGCTTTGAGGACCACCGTGTCCCTGACGTGAGCCCCGAGGTTTCCAGTCCCCCTCTCTGTGCATGCAACAGGTGAGAAGACGGGAGAAAGATGCAGGGGCCGCCAGGAACCCTGAGGGTGTCTAGGGCCATCAGGAGAACAGGCAGACTGGGCTGGAAGGCGTATAGCTGCAGGGGCTCCTTAGAAGCAAGGGCAGCAAGGGGGTGTCACCCTCCCTCAGACACGCTGTAGGGAGGGACCCGGCCCTAGAGAAGGACACCTGCTGGGTGAAGTGGAGGGGCGATGAGAAAGGCCAAGGGCTGGGCATGGTGGCTGCAGCAGTGGCTCACGTAGCAATGTGCACAAGGCACAAGGGTGGGGTGGGACCAATCAGCGCCTCGCTGGGGCGTGCGGACTCTGACTCCCAGTTCAAAGCCACCAGCCTTCTGGGGAAAGGAATGTGATTCCCACTCACAGGGGAAGTTCTACCCTGTCCCTGTGGACTCACTGTAAGTGGGTATCGATTTGAGAGCACGGAGGTTCTTTTTTTGGGGGGCAGATCAGGGGTCTGCCAGAAGAAGAACCATGGTGATGCATCGGTTAAGTGCTCAGCTAATAGACAAAAGGCCAGAGGGACAAACCCTGCAGCGGCTCCACGGAGGGGGAAAGCCTCAGGGTCCCGTGGGTGTATGTCCATCAGCAGCAGGCTTTTTGCTGGGGTCCCTCTGGGTGCCACAAAAGGTCAAGGGCTCTACCACCAGCCAAGAGGCCAGTGCTTCTGACGTCCCCTTAGGGGTGTCTGCAGACAGACCTAGCCGTGTCTTTAGGAAGGTCAGTGGGCTGGACAGCCCGGTGGAAAAGGCTGGGTGTGCAAGGCCCACCGCACATGCACATCAGGACTGCCTGGAGGTCATTCTCAGCAGGCTTTCAGCCATAGTCTGGGCAGTCCGTTCCACCATGGGTGCTGGGAGTGGGGAGGGGGCTTAGCACCCAGACCTCACAGGGATTCCACCTGCCAGCCCTGACGGTGCCAGGTGGGCCTGGGCTGACATGTGTGTGGGTCACTACCTCCCTGAGAATGTTCCCCAGGGTCTCCCAGGGAGCATGGCCAGCAGGAGTGTGGCCACTCCTGCACGAAGCCATGAGCACCAGCACACAGGCCCGTCCCTTCTCGTCCCGTAGGCTGGCTTGGAGGGTCTGCAGGCAGCTGCCTTTTCCGGATGTCCACTCTGAGCTTGCTGTCAGGAATCTCAGAATAGCTCCACGTTCCCGGGCATTGATTTTTTTTTTTTCCTTCTCTCTCCCGCCTGCTTTTAATTCAATGCCAGGGCTGGCTGAAGAGCACGCCGGTTCAAGCAGTCCCAGATCAAAGCACGGTACTGATGTGTTCGCTGAGTTCTGACAACAGGAATCCCACAGTCCACTAAGGAAATAAGGAAACCCAGGAGCAGACACTCTGGGAACCTGCCCCTCGGCCGCTCCAAGGGGCCGGAAGAGCCAGCCTCTGGGAACCCGGTGGCGTGGGGTCACCACGGCTGCTGCGGAGGGCGTGCACTGACAGAGGTGTTCTTAGAGGCTGCCACCTGCCAGCGATGGGGTTGAGGGACACCTTGGGCTTGAGGACAGCCAGCTCAGCATAGACACGGACGACTGTACCCTCGGGAGTGATTATGAGACCAGCCTCCAGCCTCCACCTTCCCAACAGCTTGGAGCTCCTGCCCAGGCCCCTGTGCAAGGATCACATGCAGGTGCCCGGCCTCCGGCCTCTGATGGACCTGGGGTCTACCCTGCTCCAGTGACCCCACAGGGACGGGATCTACAACCTCACTTTCAAAGACCCACTTTCCAAGCAAGGCTGCGTCCCAGCCACAGGGCCCTGGGTTGGACGTATCTTCTGGAGAAGACCCAAGGCGAAATCCCAGAGTGAACCCAAGATATGTTCTGGCGAAGGAAGCCAGTGTTTGGGGACAGGCTGGTCCCAGAAACCACCCTCTTACCGCCGTGAGCCCAAGCCCCGAGGGTCGGCCTTGCTGTGAGGCTGCTGACAGCAAATGCAGAACCATGCTCTCAGGCAGTCCCGGGGCAAGGGGCTGAGGTGGAAACTGAGGGACAGGTGACTGCTACCCCAGAGGTGTCTCATAGCCCCAAGACCAGCACCCCAAATCTTGAGCCCCAATGGTGCACATGATGGGCTGAGCTGTTTCCCACGAAGATGAGGGTCCCACCTCAATAGGTCTGTGGGCGACTGAGCTCAGAGACGGGGTGTTTGTCATGAGATGTGGGGGCATGTGACCTCAGAGACACAGCCAGGGGAGGAACCTGGCACAAGGCGAGAGGCCCAGGAGCTGAGAGAGCACGAGGCTTCCCCCAGACCAGGGTGAGACAGACAGACAGAGACCCCTGCACCTTGAGACATGGCCTCCCTGTTCTGGGAAACCTCCGGCACAGGCATTTTGTTGCAGACATGGGGACCATGCAGAAGGTCTGCTTACTTTTCAAGGCAGCAGGCCAGCGATCCCTGAAATTCCTCCCTAAGCCTGCGCCCTCGGAAGCCAGGGGACCAGGACCTGCAGGACACAGGGGCGCCGACACCTACCCTCCATGGATTCCGTCAGCTGGGAGGGGAGCTCTGGTCTTGTTATAGGTGAGCAGGACGTGTGGAAGGGCCCAGGACGGGGTCACCCAAAAAGGCCTGGCTGCGTGGTGGCAACACTGACAAGTCCGCCAAGATGCTCTGGGAAGCGTCTGAACTCCATCCAGGACGGCTAGTGTGAAGAGGCTCGAAATGCCGGGCTGCAGGTGGCCCCGCTAGGGGTGGCCAGCGGAGCTCAGCGAGTGCACAGCCACAGGTTTTCCCAGGAAAGCCAACCGCAGGCCCATGGCCTTAGCCTCATAGATCCTCCACAGGCTCCGGGCCAAGGGCAGTAGTGGAATCGCAGGCTTTGTCGGACGTGTCCATCCCTGTGGCCTTCCCTGGGGTGATCTCGGGCAGCACGGCGGAGCATCGAGCTCAAGCTTCAACAAGGCCCCTGGATCCCTCGCCCTCAACTGCAGAAGGGCCTGGACAAGATGGAGGACGCCGTCGCTGCCCCGTGGGCTCTGGCGGTGGAGGAGCCACAGCGAGGATGGCGCAGAACTGGGCAGTGTTTCCTGGAGTCGGGGGCTGGTACAGCTGAACGGCACCTAACGACCATCACAGCAGCCTCCACTGAGCTTGCCTTCACCAGGCAGGGCGTCACGGCAGCAGCTGCTAGAATCTCCTCAGAAGACTCCATCGAGAAGCATTTAGCTCTTAGCAGATCCTGGAGCCCTGGCCGCTTCCTGGGGAACGCTACCAGTGTCCCTCCTTGGCTGGGTGAGCATGCCACCCATCAGCTCAGACATCTGTTTTGGACCACCACGTCCAGTTTGGGTGTGAGGGGTGCCTCCAGGACAGCCGACAACAAGACTTGAACTTGGGACAAGCCTTGATGGGAGGCAGCACCATGATGGTGCCCTGCCAGGGTGTGAGCCAACAGACACCCCACAGAGGCCTGTGCTCTGGCCTGAGACAGCTGTGGCCGTGTGCTGGGCACCCCAGGCTGGGTCCCTGGAAGCTCCTCTGGTGCTGTGCCCCTGGCACCCAGAGCTGAATCTGAGTCTGTAGGTGCACCAGGTAAAAAATCCCAGCTGCAAAGACCTCCAGGGCATGTTCCCATGCCGGCCCTCTTACCTCGGATATATACAAGGTAAGGTATAAACTCCACAACCAGTCCTCACTCACACGACTACACTGGGCAGAGTGGAGCTGCCACACAGGGTGTCCACACCGGGCATCTTGCTGTGAGTGGAAGGTCTCCTCTTTCTCCTGGGGAGGGGATGGCGGGTTGGGACGGCCAGCCTTTTCTTTGTCACCTCATGCTTGCTTTACCCACTGATACGCACCCCACCCCCCCGCTACCCCCAGCTCCTGCCTCCTAGGCTCAGGTGCATGCACTGTGTGTTGTATTGCTGTGTCAAAGCCGAGCAAATTGACTCAAAGCCTGGTTAAGTACGGGCTGCGGCCGCACAGCCCGCCCGGCTTGTGGAGTGGAGGCTGTTTCTCCACTTGTGTTGTGGGAACAGATGTCGGGGCTCAATTGGCCGGCCCCACCATTCTTCTCAGCCCTGTGTGGTCTCCCTTCCCAGATAGTGAGAACAATAATGCAGGCTTCTCTCCTAAAAGCACAGTGTTTGTGTTGGAAACATCAGTGGGCTTTGCTGAGAGCCAAACCCCTCATTAACGCAGGAGGCATTTCCACATCCAGCCGTAAGCCCGCTGGTTAACACTAAGTCTGCGTCTTAGATCAGGGAAGTGAAAAATTACAGGTGTCAACTCAGCCCGCCCTGAACCCGCATGCCCGCCAGGTAGAGCTAGCTGTGCACGCGCCCTCGGCTACTGAGGCAAGTGGGAAAGTGGCGGGCAGTGGTGAGCGCGATGCCAGAAGAGACTCTCAGGAGGGTCTGGGCCCAGGGAGTGCAGGAGATCCTTGGGTCAGTTTGTCACGCACACGATGGATGGTCCCCACCTAAGAAACGAGGGTCCAACCAAATGGGACTCTCCCCTCGAGATGCCCGCTTCCTACGGCTCTGAAAATACCTCCGCTGGCACGCAACGGAGTCTTGCAGGAGAGAGCATTAGCAAAGGTGAAACCAAGGTGCAGGGACGTTCGCTTCGGGGAAGGGTTTGCCCATCTTCTAACGGATAAGGGGCTTCGACTCACCTTTGCAGTTCCCCCGATAGGCAATTTCCAGCTGGGGATCCTTGCATTTGGCCCGTTGGAACTCACAGCGGGACAGGAAGGTCCTTCCGTCTGACGCACACAGGGGCTTTTGAGGAGAGCCGGCGCAGTCCAAGCTGCAATTCTTGTCCTTATCTTGGTCGACTCGCAAAAACTTGAGGGGAAAAAACACACCACAATCAGGGAAATGCCAAGAGCTCTTCTCGAGGGTAGCCCAGTAGGAGGTTATCAAAGACCACACTGCACCCAGGGAGAAACAACACCCAGGGATGACACTGCTTGTGCCTCATCAATGCCGCTGACATGGACACTCTTAGAAAACTCTGAGCCGTTAGGACCACGAAGAGCCTGCGTGGTCTTTGTGCAGTGGGCTTGGTGGCAGTGTCACTCCGAGCAACGGAAGCTGTCTGCCTGGGCCTGGACTGATACATGTTCGGTCCAGGTTGCTTGTTTTTTATCATTTGGTACTAACTCATGAGCTCTTTGACGTCAACATTTAACCTGGTGCTCAGCCGTCGTGTACTTGAACTGGTACATGAGAGTTTTACCTGGGCACTTGTATATCTGGAACGTGTACATGGATCAGGAGGCTGCTGTGCATCGGACCGAGGGAATGCTGCATGGTTTGAAAGCAGGAAAAGTGGGGGGCAGGGCTGTAGCCTCTGACCACACATATTCAACCTGTCTGCCCATCAAATGCTCAGAGAAGTTGGATCACATGAAGAAGACAATGGTGTCAAGATCAGAGGAGGGCTTATAAACAACCTGAACTGTGCAGCTGGGACAGCCTTGCTAATGAAGATCAAGTGTCCCAGCCTTCAGTGTGGATTGCAACTAAATGTAAGGAAAACCCAAATCCCCACAACTTGTGGTCCTTACATCATCGTTTGTCAATTTTAGAGTGAAGGGTGGAGTCTAGCCTGTCAATCGGATCATAGCCAATGAGTCCCCTTTGTGGGTGTGGCCTTCTGCTGAGGATTCTGGGAACCCCTGTCTTCCTCCTTGGAGGTGGGAGACACACACTCTCTCTCTCGGCTAACTCCCTGTTAGACATCCTGAGGAGAAGCCACATGGATCTACCCTAATGCAGCCACAGCATCAAAGCTGGAGAAGCCACATGGAGACCCCTGCCAGAGCTGAGATGCTTACACCGTCACTGGATCCACAAGACTTCCCATCCACTGGCCTGTGACCATCCTGAATTCAGCATCATTGCATGTGTTTTGTGAGTCTGAAGAGGACTTTATAGATTGGTATTGGACATAGGGGCTAATATCAGATTTATGGACTTGATCTGAATTGTGCTGGGATGTTTTCTCAGTATTCAATTGCTCTTGTATAGAAACCTCTTTCTTATACACATATGAGTGTCCCTATGAATTTGTTTCTCTAGTCTCCCAGACTAACAGACACCTGGCCCAATAGGTAACATGGTGATAACTAGAGGAAAGGTTGATGGATGTGGTCAAGGATTTCACATTGCTGGGAGCCATCATCAATGCCCAGGAAGCGCCCGTGACGAGATCACAGACCGATCGCATCAATCCCGCTTCACAAGTGTGCTTCCGAGTGTTGAAAAGCAAGGGTGCTGCTTGGAGGACTACGGTGGACCTGGCCCAAGCTGGGGTGTTTTCAATCACCTCGCATGCCTGTGAAATTGGACACTGAGTAAGGAAATGCAAAGGAGAATTGATGTGTTTGGACTGTGGTGCTGGAGAAGGAGATTGAAAGTACCATGGACTGCTAAAAGGACAAGCCGATCTCACTTGGAAGATGGAGTGCAGAGTGCTCCTTACATATGCCGGGCACGTCGTCAGGAGAGACCAGACCCTGGAGAGGACATCACGCTTGGTAAAGAGGAGGGGAGTGGAAAAGAGGAAGACCCTCAATGAGGTGGATGGGCTCAGTGCTGCGGCACTGGCTGATGGAGAGAGAGAATAGTGAGGGTGCTGCAGGACCAGGCAGTGCTTCGCTCTGTTGTGTCCAGGGTCGCTATGGATCAGAACCGACTGACAAACCCTAACAAAAATAACAAGCCCCATTTCAGGGTGACAGGGTCAGGAATGCCCCAGGTGAGCATGGAATCACCGTGAGATTGTTCTTTATCTGACTTAAATGGTGCTCACAACCATACCCATGTTCTAGGAACCCACCACCACACACTGACTGGATTCAACCATTGTGTTCTGGACACACTGGGTCGAGTAAAGAATGCCCTTTTGCTCAGGAAGAGGGTCGGCCATGGCTATGAACATGCCTCACAGTGCAGCACAGCCAGCACCCTGCAGCATGTTGCCACACTGCGTGCGTCCAAGATGAGTAGACAAGCCTATGAGCCAGGCAGCCGCTCCATGAAGAAGGCCTTCTGGGTCTACCCCCTAGTGGGCTCGTCATACACGGACACGCCAGTGATGGGAACCATCCTCAGGTCACCAGTGCCTGTTGTTCTCCCTGTGTGTCCTGACACACAGCCTTGGGGCTAACGGTGTCCCCAGGGCAATCTCAGGCTCCGACCCTGCCATACCCAGAACCTGGACAACTGACCATCTCCTGTCCACACAGGGATCTTCAATTGCCAAGGGGGCCTGTCTGGGCCTGGGTCTGGCCCAGCCTCACGCCATGCTGGGCACAACTCCCAGGGAGGTGAACTTGAAGATGTCACCTGGGATGACCACACACAGAGGCAGGGGTGGGTGCCCCTGCCCCTCAGAGGTGTTCTCTTTGAGGGTGGGACGTCATCACCCACAGGTGCCCCCTGGGCGGGCAGCATAGACTAGCAGCCCGAAAGCTGGCAGTTCAAACCAGCCCAGAGGCTTCTGATGCAGAAACGTGTGTCCTGCTGCCCTGAGGTCCCAGCCCTCAAACCCGAGGGAGTGGATGGCTGGACTTTGAGGGGATGGGGTGGCTGCCCCATCACCCATCAGTTGTCAATGCCACTCAGTGGCTCATGGCCACCCAGGTGCTCCAGGGGCCTGACAATGACCAGGCTTCCAATGTGGGTCATCAGGCCCTTTGTCCCAGGGTGGAGTCTAGCCACCAGCTTCTGGTCACCTGTCTGGCCACCCTGGGACTCAAGGTCAGTGCTTCTTTCCTTTTCTAAGTCACCTATCGAACGAAAGAGAGCCTGGGACTGTGACGCGTCATCAAGAATCTACCCCTGATCAGCCTGCTCAAGCACAGGGCACAGGTGGCCCGCACCCTGCCAGGTCACCCAGGGCAGACAGAGGCGTCCAGATCAGAGGTCCCTGACCTCAGCTCCTGTCTGTCCCAGGCGAGAAGTACGGTTGGGATTTTACAATCCACCAGGACCCGGCTGCTGTCCCTGCACCGGTTGCAGATGAAGACCCCAGGCCACCACTCCTGGGGTGGGTCCCGTGACCCCCTGAGACTCTCATGTCCACGAGCAACATAGATGACCACAGAAGACAGGCATGCAGGCAGGTGGGGCTGACAGTCTGTGTAAGGCCACATCACCAGGTAGGATCCCCACATGTGGCCCAGGGTACCAAGACCCTGGTGCCCTTGGACAGGGGTCAAAGGTCGACCAAGTTCAAGCAGGCATGGTGCTAACATCTCTGCCCTTAGGACAGCTCAGCAGTGCCACACATAACACCCTCCACAAAGCCCCCCAAGGGACCTGCGCAGTACACAGTGTCTCCAGGCAGACAAAGGTGACCACCATCCACTGTGTCCCAGCCCCAGCCACTAGGGCCCGCATGTCCACAGACCGAACCCCCTGCAGGAACATAGCCCAGATGCAAATGAGCAAGTCTGATTCTTCTTTTTCAGGATTCTGAAAAAAATGCGTGCTTTTATGTAAAATGGGCAAGAGCCATGGTCGGTGTCATCGAGGGGTGACAGTTCCTGTCTGCAGACTCCAGGGCCTGAGTGCCCCACCTGGGGAGTCCCTCCAGAAACATCCCCAGCTGGAAGGCATGAGACACTGGGCCAGGGGTCCTGGGCGGTACAAGTCCACCCAGTGACCTTCCCACTTGCCCCGACCTCTCTGCAAACCTGGGGAGGGGCTGTCCCGCTCACAGCAAGGAGCTGCCTGGGTTACGCAGACCTCAAGAAGGAGGGCTGGGAAATGCCAGCCACGATTCAGTGGGAACACTGTGAATGGGATGTTCAGGAGGACCGGGACCCCCTGTCATTGGCTGGTTCTGACTCACGGGTGACCGTATGGGCGGATGGCCCAGCGCTGGAAAGCTCGGCCACCTCATCTCTCTCCCAAGGAGCACCATGTGGCCTACCGGTTGGCAGCCTGGCACTTAACCTACTGGGCCACTGGGCACCTTGGAGAAGGACCAGGGTCCTGGCTTCAGGCCAGAGCCTGCTCTCCGGCACACCAGCTGCTGCGCTGGTGCCCACTGGGTGGTCAGTGCAGCTCTCTCAGACGCGAGAGCCAGGCGTTTCTTCCTAAGTATCTGCGATGGGCTTTGCACAAGCCCTAGGCACCCTCCTCCCAGGGCTCTGGCTGTCACCCCGTCCTCACCAGTGGAGGCGACAGGCGGGGATCAGCTAGATCCTGCTCCTTTCCCCCGTTCAGGCAGGGATCTCCCTGCATTTCCGGGGACCCTCAGCGAGTGAGGCAGACCCTTAGGCCGAGACGCTGTAATTACTGCTTCTCCAAACAGAAAGAGACAGGCTCTACATCTTTCCTGAAAACAGCGGCGGCAGCAAGCCCTCGTGTGCGGGATTTGGGACTTAACCACAGTGCTCCAACGTTGGGAGGGCGGCGCGGGAACAATGGGGCATTCTTTCTCAGGAGACAAGGGGCTCTTTCTGCCCGGGCCCCCGCCCCACGCCCCTGACTTACAGTGAGTCCAGAGGGAGACATCCTTTCTGGAGGGAGGCCAGGCCTCCAGTGCATGGCTCACACTCAAGCAGGGTGCCCACCACGGACAGGCTCTCCCACCGGGCCCGCAGGGTCCTGTCTGGTGAGAGAGCCAGCGGGTTCAAAGCAAAAGACCTTTCACCAAAGTTCTACAGAGTCCCACAGACCTGAGGGGCTCTGTTTACAGATGTTCCCCTTTGTCTTCTCTTCCAGAAACAGGGTGTCTGCTTGGCCTGCAGGAGGGGATGAAGGAGACGGGCAGGTGGCCTCCTTCTGTACAGCCACCAATGTCCCCGTCAACGGCCAGGACTCCTAGTCCAGTACAGATGGGCAGAACCCTGTGACTCTGGCCCTGAGCCACCCTGCACGTTGGGCAGTGAGCTTACCCACAGGCTCAGTGTTCAGCCATCTCCTGCCAAAGGCTTAGTGCCACCAAGCTGATGCCGACTCAGAGCCACCCTGTGGGGCAGGGGGAGCTGCCCCTCTTCCCGGGGCAGAAGGCCTCATCTTCTCCTGCAGAGCAAATGGTGGCTCAGACTGCTGGCCTCCCAGGCAGTAGCCCACGTGCAGCCCACTGCATGGCCAGGGCTTGCTGCCCACCCACAGATGGGTCTGAAAGAGGAGATTCACACACGTTGGAGCCATCCGTGCTGCAGGAGTGAAGGGCAGCGCTGGCCCGAGGACAGCGGGCAGTGGGCAAGGAAGGGGGTGGGGCAGAGGTAGAAAGCGGTGGAGGGAGGGA